AATGGGTACATGGAGAGAGAGCGGGTAATTCAAAAAATAATAAAAAATAGTATCTAAATAATGCTGGTAAAATATGAGGCAAAAAATTTGGATAACGCAAATTCAACTAAGGGAGATACATAGATACTATTTACTCATGTGAATTTTGATAACGGGTTTTTTGCGGTTTAAAATATTTTAGTTCGTTGCAGGCCAGACATAGCGGACGAGTTTAACTCGCTTGACAACTATATTTAGGTCATTTGTTTCAAAAAAATTTAGTGTTTTTGCTGTTTTTACCTGCTTTGATAGTTTACGATTTATATAGAAATCTAGAATATCACTAATCAGGTTTACACTTGATCCGTGTCCGCTATCATGTCGATTTAAAGCGATTATTATTTCAAACATTCAAAAATTTGAAGAAAGCAAAGCAAACGTATGTGTGGCTCTGAATCTCTTACCTATTGTTTTTATATGTTAGACTAAAATATATAATTTCTAATGAGTATTCAAACCACTATTGTAAGATGAAAAAGGATGATATATATGGATGGGACTCTACGGTTATCAAATAGTCACATTTTTGGCTTTTTTACTATTTCTCTTTTATGTAATGTTCTTAACTTAACAAAAACAAATCTGATAATTTCTTTATCTAAATCGAATTAAAAACAACATGAAACTGGTACAAATTCTTCCAATTATGAATTAAATACTATTATTTAAAAATATGTTTACAAACTTAACCTTCCATGTATGTAATATATTGAAATCAACCTCGCACGCACGTATATAATATAAACTTTTGAAATCAACCCCGCACGTACGTGCGGGTCCATCCCTAGTACTTATTATTTAACAATAGAAATATTATATTGGAGTAGCATATTTAGTTAATGTATCATAATACTTATCATTTTACTTTAAAAGCTAATATACATATTAGCCTAAATAAACAATCCAAATCATGTATACATCATGTGCCAAAATAAACATATTTAGGCTCATTTGAATCATATAAGGAATTAAAATATAGCATTTACGTGGGCCAAAAAGCAGTTAGTGAGGGATTAGATATTTTTTTTTTTTTTGTCATCAAATGAATCAAACGATCAGCTCAAACGAGCCAATGTGACGGACAATTGTTTACATACTTGACTAATTGCGGAGTGGATCGAGCTTGTCGAGCCAAATAATCCGCTTTTACATTCAAATTTCGAGGTACTAGCGATAAAGAGAATGACGAAAATTCTTCCCTATCAGTAGTGATATCATCGAGGTAGACAGAGAAAGCCGGCCAATCGGTAGGAGAAGACACCATCTTCACCAAATCTGAACAGTCGGTAACGAACTCAACATTTCTGACATCGATGTTAGTGAGGGATTAGATAGAAAATGTGATTAGTGGGCTTTTACTATACATATTAGCCTAAATAAACAATCCAAATAATGTATCAAACGTTTCTTGTTCCAAGTCTTCGACCCGGTCTAGACGAACGCGCAGACCCTCAATATTTATTAGATTCATTTTTTTTCTTTTTGACAATTATATCCTTATTGATTTTAAGAAAAACTCTCCTTAATGTGAAATTGAAGGATGGTGTTCAAAAAAAAAAAAAAAAAAAAAAAGTGAAATTGAAGGATAATTTCTGGAATTTTAGGCCAAAAATTTTAATTTTCAATTTTGTGCTTCTCTTTTAATATTAAAAAGATTAATGTATAGCAATGCAAACATGATCCTGAACAAAAGAAGAAATCCAGACTAAGAACCTTAAGAATGAAAGGGCCTTTGCATCGGAGTGTACATAGTTTACAAATCGGTCGAGAACAATGATTGTTTGGAAGTACGATAAGCTTCATGCCTCGGAATACAAATACTCGTCCTGGCATGAGACGAGAGAATTCTCCAATGACGCACTTAGCATGCACTCCAACCTCACATTCATTGCATTTATAGAACCATTTATTTGGATCCAACTTCTCTTCACATATATCACACCAATATGTCCCATTTACATTATTTTCATTGCAAGATAAGGAGAGGAGATGTTGATCACACATGTGCTTTACTGTTTTAGGTAAAGTTGCACAACGAAAATCCATTTTATAGTCACATGACCCACAAGACAATATTGGTGATGTTGATACTGATTCGCGGCAGGCATTGCACGTGCCAGTATTCGTTTTTTTGTAATGCAAAGGGTGTTCATGATGTTCAAGAGAGGATAACTCAGAAGTCAAAATGCATCTTACGTCTACAACTACATTATCAGATTCGTACCTGAAACCATTGAACATTTCTCCACAAACATTGCAAATCTTAATCTTGTGTAAGTCCACGTCTCGAACATGTAAGGTAAATGGCTTGTCGTGAGACATATGATGTTTTTCCGAGGAAGTTTTGCGCATACATGCTTCACAACGTATGCTCACAATTCCGCCAAGAGTAGTAAGATCTTTACTTAATTTTAAATTATGTCGTCGATGACTAAAATGATTTATCATGTTATCACCCACCTCCTTGAACGACATTATATCTTCGGTTTCTTCTGGAACCCCTTCAAGTTCTATCCCATCCCATATATCGTTTCTTGTTGCACATTTTGAATGAACAACATAGTTAATGCACACTAAGCAAGAATATGCCCCGTAGAACCGGTTAATACTTTGGAGACAAACCTTGCATACCGAATCTTCAAAACTAAATTTTTGATTTTCAGTATGATAGATGCGATGATCATGACGATTAATACTTATAACACGGGGTAAGCCAATGCAACTTCGGTGGACCATAAAACCGCAATGGAAACAAAAATATGGGCTACGGTCACCTTGCATCCCACAAGCATTGCAAGTAAATGAGATTTGTCTCGCCATAAGTGTGAGTTTATGCTCATGAGTTTTTATACGTTCAACATTGACAGGAGGTGGGATGCTTGTACAACCCAAGCACACACTGAAGTTACATATGGAACAATGATAAAGCACACTTTCAAATTTGAAACCACATAGAAGACATGAATTATCAATGTAATCAAGTGTTCCAGAGATATAAATCTTGAGAGAGTGTTTAGGGTGACAGGGATGGTTTACCTCTGGTAAATTCTCACATTCTACATGGAGGACGACTTTGCACTTAAAACATCGATAAGCTGATTCGACAACAATGTTTTCTTTACATACTTCACAAAGATTTGTCGGGTTTCCTGATATTGGGAAGAACACAAGTGGATGTTTATGGCGTTGAGGATGTTCAATAGTAAGTCTTGGTGCCTCTATCGCACAAGGCAAGTGTGAGCTGAATGTTTTACACATGAAACAATGATAAGTCCAATCATCGTAGATGGGTAGTCGACACACGTGACAAGAAACCGTAGAGTATTTAACTATGTCGGTATGCATGAGAAGATGTTGAGGATGAGAAGTGTGATAAAATATCTTTGGAAATTTAGAATTAACACAATCTTTGTGGAACCAACGATCACATTCGGTGCAACGGTATCCGTTACTGATGTAACCACCAGCTTTGCACCAATAACACCTCAAAGCAAACCCGGGTGAAGGTGTCAAAGGATGACCATGACATATAAGGTTACTTGATGTTTCCATGGCGGATGTGTTTGAATCAAAGCAAAGCTCTTGTTCTTTCGGAATTATCAAGAAAATAAATTCAGAAGCAAGAAATTTTGAATTGGTCGAGATGAGTTTGCTCCCATTAGCGTACATATTTATTACCAAAGGGCAAGTATAACTGATTATACACAAAAATCTCATATTCTCCTAAAGGCAAGATGAGATTTTTTTCTTCAAAAGGCAAGTTACATATTGTCGTCGTCGATTATTTTCTTCTTCATTTTCATGCACAAATACAAGTCATTCCTTTCCTTATATCAAGCTTTTCTGCTATTTCTATGACATAATTACACCTTCTAGTGAGATTCCAACATGCTATTACGAAGTTAAGTCTAACGACTGTCAAAATACATTTGTAAACTTTTTTCCCAATACAAAGTTTATTGATCTCAACTTTGTTAACTGCTTCAAACTGAATCAAGAGGCAAGAGACAATAAAGACATATAAAACTAAATCCGCAATATATATTTTCGGTTTATAGTATTCCACGAACGAAGTCGTCTAAATTTAGGCCAAAAGATAAAATTTCATAAGTCATCTATCCCTTTTGAAAGAAATTGGATCCTTACATAAGACGGGTTAATGATCTGTTTACGGGATTGAACAAGAAGGAGGCGCTATAAAATTTTGGCTGTTGAATCTACTACTGGTCCGACCTTTGCCTCTCAGTTTGAGTACAATGAATACTTGCAATCTGGAATACAAGGTAGTGGTTGTAGGCAAGTGCTTAGCCATGTTGCTCCACCAAAGTCATTTAGCTTCCCAAAGAAATCAAGCCCCAGCACGTCGAAAGTTCTAGTAAGCCATTTTTTTTATAGTGAAACTGACATAGCATCCAGTTACAGTCATGTTTCTCTAACTAACCTGATTAACTATAGTTTGAAGAATCATATGAAGCAAGAAAGAAGTTTTCAAACGCTAAGTCCATATCCTCTGCTCAGTTTTTCGGGGATCAGAAAAAAATCTTATGAGCAAGAATCAAAAGTTTCACTTGAGAAAATTCTCTGTAAGTTGATTTGCCATCATGATCAAAGATGCTCATACCATCCCTTGGGACACCCGTATGAAATGGGTCGACGAAGTGTGTAATCAAGTAAGTTCACACACTCGAATCTCTCCTGGTTTGTTGAGCTTTAAGTTGTACTGATAAACAGGCTTGTTTGATGGTAACAGGTCGAAGAAGTTACATTAGGGGTTGATCTAGCAGGGGATCTTGGACCAACAGTGTATCAACTCCGTAAAGATGCATGGGCCTTGTCGGATCAACTTATATTTGAAAGAGGGCAAGGTGAGAGAGGGATCAAAATCGCCTAGTAAATTAACCGAATCAAAACGTTGTTACTATGAATGCTGAAAAACTTCTAATGTAATTTTCTTTTTTTTCTTTTGTTTACTTCAATAGTGACAACAAAACTACCTCAAATCCTATCTTTAACTTTATTTTCAATGAAGTATATATTGCTAAATATTATTCACTGTTCACTTTTCAGTCTGATTGCTACATTAAATAAGGGAAAATTGAAAAGAAAGGATAACTATTTACATACTTAGCCATCCATGCTTTCTATGAACATATGTCAACTACTCCTTAACTACCCCTTGCATTACATTTCAAAAAAAAAATTAACAAACAAATCGAAACGATGAAAAATACATGAGGATACCTTTAATGTCAAAAACTTTGTCCTTTTGTTAAATTTTTGGATAGATAAAATTTGATCTATGAAGTTTAGAACAGACTTTCTGAAATTTAGGATGTATATCTATACGACCTAAATGTTCTACAAAATGATTAGTTCTACACATTCTTCACATTCAGCAAAATTTAAAAGTCATTTTTTTCTATAGGATTTAAAATTCCAGTTTCTATAAAATTTAGAATACATTTTTCGTAGATTTACTTGTGTTTTAAGAATGATAGAAAACTTATTGTTAAGTTTTTTTCACTACATTCTATGAAAATTAAGCAAAACATTATCGCCTCAACCACGAAAGATCATCTCTCTTATTTTATAAACGAAGACTAAACCTAACTAAAATACAAGATATAATTATTTGTATAGATTATAAACAAAAAAATAGTTTCTTCTAAAAGCTACTTATCTCCCATATGATTGGTTATTAAACATTTAACCGTGGATTACTGACATCTATCTCCTTATCAAATATCACTTATCGTCTTTGATAATTTTAATATACAAAACTGCATTTATTCGGTACTTTCAAATGTTTTATTTCAAATAAATAAACTGTAACACACAAATATCTATTATGCTCAAACTCATGCTCTGTGTTCTGCTCCAGCTACTTCTCTATGTTCGTCTCAAGCTCCTGCTCTTTGTTGAAAAGTTCACCAATATTTATGTTGTCTCCATCATTTTCTTTGTTCGGTTGCACATTATAATCTTGCTCATGTTGAAGTTTAGTTAAATTATTGGCTGACTTACATAATATAACACATACCAAAATTTACAACCAACTAAGTTAAATTAAATATTTAGCACATGCTATGTACAACTTAAAATTAGACATAGTCACACAAATTATATGTGAAAAAACTACTACATCCACTAAAACAAAATGATTAATTCTAAAAACAAATAAGACAGGTTATGTGATGATCTTCATGTTATAACATGATAAAGAGGTAATTACTAAATTTGTTTGTAAAGTGAGACAAATTAGACACATCTTTGTAGCTGGAATATTTACTCTTAAAGTAGTCCAAATTAGCAATGTATTTGTGACTTTAAGTGTTAGAGCCATATAATTTTTTTTATAGTGAGTTAGTCTGAACAATATTTAGATGCTTAAGAATTATGTTGCAGAAAAAACTACATTTTGACTTGTATGTGAATTAATTAACCGTTTTAATATTTCATTATATTATTACATATTTTGAAGTTCTACAAGTCTAAAAGCCTAAAAGGCAACAATTTACATTTGAGTGAAAAGGTCACAAACAATACTTATGAAATGTATATAGTTTATATCTTCATGCCTTTCTATCAATTCATCAATGTTAGTGTCTTTACTAAACTCATATCTAAAACTTCATTAAACTAATCTAAGTATCACAAAACGATAGGTACAGCTTGATTATCTTTTTCAAGAATTCTTACTAATTTGATCTAGAAAGATATTATATTATTATGTGATCAATGAAAATAAATCATTTCTGAATCTCATAGGTCTTTTGCATAAAGAACTATTCTCTGGCCGTTGATCAAAGGTCTTTTGCATTTTAACGGCAATGTCTCAAAATGGTGACATTATAATACAAATCAAAAGCAAGAAAAGCAAAAATCAACAAGTCCATGACGCAGATCTCTTGATAACAGGTTGCATCTGTTTGTCTTCTTCAAGAGAGATCATTCCTATATGTGAAGGATCTTCAAGCATCATCTTCGCAACTAAGTACCCCGCGATCGACCAAGTTTGGTACTTCCTTGCCTGTTTTCCAACATAACTTCCTTTCTTACCATCGTAATATTCCGGCCAGCAGTCTCGGTGTAGCCGTGACTCAATTAGATCAATCGCACGTCTCGCGATTTGAGGCCGGCCTGTCTTGATGCATGCAGCCGTCAACGTCCACAACAATACTGCACATAAAAATATAGCACTTAGGACCAAGTTTTCCACATGTTGTCTTTTAGTTTAGAACCAAAAAAATGCTACTAACCTGGCCAAGATCCACCGTTGTGGTAGCTCCACCTAGTGTTCTTAGGATCACAACCAGTGACTATACGCCACTCATGGCCTTCAATGCAAGGATAACATATCTTGAGTGGCATCTCGCCTACTAGCTCATCCCAACGGTGCTCGAGAAGATCCATAATAGCCATTGACTGATCTGGAGTTGCCAAGGAAGAGAGGATGGAAACACAATTTCCTAAAGAAAACCACCTAAAGTCCATACGTGCCGGGCTTACATTGCCGACAAAGTACCCTCCCCGGAGAGGCATGAAGTCGAAAACCCACTCTGGTATTGAGTCAGGCATTACATTGAACTTGTTCACTGCCGTGTGTGAATACTCCTCTGTCTTGAACCTTAACCAAAAAATTATATTTTGGTTAGAGTTGAATCATATATTAAGATCTTCTTGAGGTTTCTTACTACCTGTAGATATCGTTGAGTTGTTGGAAGTCAAGCCAAAAGTAATTGCGCATATGGAAACTCAACGCGTGAAGTCGCTTCACAATCCTTTCTATGAACTCTCTACCTTCCTCATCAGGTTTAAGCATCGATAAGGCGCATCTCAAGGACATGAAAAACAGAGCTTGAATCTCTATAGGATAACCATAAACACCCTACAAAGTACAAAATCAAGATTTGGTTTTAGTGTCAAAAATCTAAAAAGTTGTTAGCTCGTTCACTATAAGGTATTTCTTACCATTCTCCTATCAACCATAGAACAACCATCAGCACAAAGCAGCGTAGGGAAAGTGTCAAACCCTTCGGACAAGCAAAGTGAGAGTATAAGTCTCATTCCCTTCTGACACTCTGGTGACTCAGACAAAGTCAAATCTCCTGTTGATTTTGTGTAAGCACGGAGAAGTATGATCCACCAGAACCCTGAATCCACTGGTGCTACTCTTCCTATCGCGCTTTCCCCAAAATCCGCGACGATTGTGTCGGTTTTACGGACAGGATCATGAAGCACCTTAAAGCTCGCTGGCATAACGCCTTCCCCGAGCTTGAACCGGTCAACCCTTTTCTCCCAACCTTGAAGCTGAAGTGTCTTGAGCAAGAAGTTTTTCACTATATCTGGCTCTCCATTCATCAGAAACGCTAATGCACTCGGTACAAAGTCTCGTACAAACACCTACACAAAAATACAATTTTGAGATCTTAATCTCTGCTCTAACCAAAATAAAACTAATATGTCCTTTATTGTATAACATACCACTAACATTACTAATTAGTCTAGCTAGGTTACTAAAATGTGTCTTGTAAGTTTGATTACTAATCAAGAAAAAATTGCATAGTTTACGAATGTTAGCTAAATCTTTAACAACGCATCTATGTAACACTAAAACATAAGAATAGAGAATAAAAACGTTAAATAAGCTTCTAACTTAGAGAAATTTGCTCATTTTATAGAATTATTTCGCGATTATGTCTCTGTTTTTGGCTAATCGTGTCTATTAATTATGTTCAGGCAACAGACTTTTCAGTTACCTGATCATAGTTCAAGACCTCCTCGGAGGCATGGTCATAAGCTGCAATGGTACCAACAGGTTGACCACGAAAGAACACCATTGACCTTCTCAAAGCTTCCCAAGCCTCAGCAATTATGGGATGAGGCTCAAACGAGTTCCTAACAGAGAGAGGAGTGTCCAACATTGACCTACTTCCAGGAGAATGAGCCATTTCTAAAAAGCTGTCCTGTCTCACATAGCCATTCGATAACTCGCTCATCGACCTCTCGTCGAATGATCTCTTCCTTTCGATCTTTAGCTGCCTCGGCTTCTCCAAAGCCCGGGTTAAATGGAAATCATCCATCTCTGATAATGAACAATGTGATGCTACTTCAACTCTTACCACCAATGGTTCTTTATAACCTTCCATTTCTTTGGTTTTAATTGATAGGACAAGATCTATAAACCAAAAAAAAACAGACACAAAATCAGTTAATATGATAAAAACATTAAAGTGATTTCTTCTTATAACAACAACTAATTTTTAGGAAATAAATTATAGTTTATTTTAAGATATTAAAACATTTTACAGATTCTTTTTCTTGTTTATTATAGTTATTACTTATCCAAATAAATTATGTTATTATAACTACTTTATTCAAATACTTAACAAAGGTCGTTGAGTCACGCGAGATTAACCATAACAAAATACTAATAATACAAAACATTGTTAATCTATATGGATTAAATAAAAAGATTAATCAAGATCCATGAGAGTGAACCAGATCTACTACATCTATATATATATAACATACATAATGGTTTAACATAAGTGAGATAAAACAAGAACCAAACCTGAGAAGACGACGGAAACTTCAAGAACTCGTACCAAACGCCGGCGATATGGCCGGAGAGTGAGAGAAGAAAGGGCAAGAGAGTAATAAAAGTGGGAAAAAGAGTCATGAAGAGTGAAGCTGTTTGCTATATAGATTAGATTAGATTAGATAGAAGAAGAAGACAAAACATGACTTGTTAAAGAGACCGAAACAAAACAAAACGGGGTCTGGTAAGGGAAACAATGTCGACGAAAGAGACAAGAGTTTTACCGGTAATTACCGGTTAAGAAACGGTCAAGTTGTGTTACTGGTCTACGTGGAGTAACCGGTGATGTGAGTGAATGGTAATGTCTGATTTGTGGTTTTTGGAGTTTTCGCTTGGGGTTACTTGTTTTATCGGTTTCCAGTCATTTTTATCTTTTATTATTATTGGTTTTTGTTTTTTTTTGACATATAAACCAAACACAGTGGTGGACTGGTAGCTTTGCTAGTGTGTTAGGTAGACAATATAATTATTAGTTATTAATAATTATATATACACATTTATGTAATGTTTTTATTTTTAAAGTAGAATATTCTCTCAAACAAATAAAAATGATGAGGGTTTTGATATTAATTTATATTCAAAAAACTCACTAGGCGTTAGTCGAATGGTCGGATTGGATCTAGACCACACAAATCAAAGATTATACTGTAAACAGTTCATAGTTTATTTTTTACTTTTTGTATTTTAAATAAAATAATATTTTCAATTCTTTTGAGAATTATCCTTTTTCCTGGTGTCCATTTTTTTAAATATCCAGTTTCAAAAATACTTTTATTAAATTTGAAAATTTCTTAAGTTTTTATAAGGTTTTTAAACTTCTGTATAGTATCTACTATTCGGAGACTTGATTCATATATGTACAAAGTTTTATAAGCTTTTTAAAATATAACTACAAAATATATATATATATATATAATTTTACGCACATAGAAATGTAATTTGTGCATATTTTTATAAGTTTACTCACAAATTTCATTGGCTTCTTAAAAAGTTTTAGTGAGGAAAAATTAAAGGTATAGGAAAAGAGATTTTTTTTTTGAAATTCCACCTTAATGTTTCAGTAAATATATCTTAAGAAAACAATTTATTATGCTGGAAATATACATGTATTTTTTATGATGACTTCAGTTCTTTAAACATCTTTCGTTTGCCTCAAGAATAATTTATTATATATACACATTTATGTAAGGTTTTTATTTTAAAAGTAGAATATGTTATATATAAAAAAAGGTATGATGAGGGTTTTGATATTAATTTATATTTTAAAAAATCAGTAGGCTTTAGTTGGATCTAGACCACATAAATCAAAGATTATTATGTGAATCACAAAAGACCATAGGTTATTTTTACTTTTTTATTTTATTTTAATGTTTGAATTTTATTAGGTAGTCATGTTAAATGCCATCTTTAGTTTTGACGTTTCAAGGTCTCGAGTTCTTTATGTTTGCTTCTAGATAATAAAATTCCTATGCAAGTAAGTGTAAAAGACTCAAAACAGAACATAAGAAACAGATGATGTATATGAGAAATAAGAAGAACACATTCGTTTTCAGTTAGCTATGTTTTAATATTGTTAATTACAAATAATTAATCACCACTCATATTGTAATATTTTGGGAACTTCAATCCAAATCAACATGAACTTTCATGAATGTTTTATACTCATCATTGAAAAAAAAAAAAAAAGTAGAACGTATAGGCGTAACAAAGAGAAGCGAAAAAAGGAAGAAGAGAGAAATTTAACTAGACCGTAATTAAGGAATCATAATTATATAGCTAATATTGTCAAACCTATCTTACCAAAAAGAAAAAAAATTGTCAAACCTAATCGAAAACAAAAGTAGCATATGATTGAGAAGTTTGATCTGAATGTTTAGTAGGATGACAAAACTAGCATACCTTGTAAGACGTCTATGTAGGATATGACAACTTTGGAACATAGGTATTGGTCCGACCACGATTTAGACTTTTAACCTAGCTTCACGCAGTGGCGGAGCCAGAAAAACTAATCATGGGGGTCATAATTTTTTTCTCGAAAATAATTTATATTAAAATAAAAATGTTATTACAAAAAGTTATTTTGAAAATGAATTCTACACTTACTCATATAATTTGAAAATATTTTATCGATGTTTTGTTTGTCACAAAGTCAAGTAACTGTTTTTCAATAAATCAAAACTAAACAATCACTTAATAATGTATCACAAATACGATTACATGATTCTATTTTTACAATATTCATCGTAAAAATACATTTTTCAAAGTAGTAACTGGTAGAATTAAGGCTAGTTTCAAAAGTCGATAAACCAAATAATACAAAATATATAAACCAAAAGACAAATCCAAAAATTTATTTCGAATTTTAATTAACTGAACTATCAAACAAAAGTTTCATAAATTACAAAAGATTTGGCTTACGGTTACGCAAAAATGACGAAAGAAGATGAAGAGTCCAAGTTTTTGATTAATTATGTTTTTGTGTTTAGTGCTTTAGGATTGTGTTTTCTTAATAAACTTATAATTATGTTTAATCATCTAATCGATTAAAATTTTATTAAAAGCTTAAAGTTAAAACCCAACAATTTGTCAAAAAGGCACAATAATCATATATAACTTAATTATTATAGTAAAAGTTAACCTGAATTTTTTTGTTTCATGGGTGTCATATGACACCCCTAATATTACTCTACCTCCGCCACTGGCTTCACGGTAACGTTTTCTATTATTTTCGATGCATGTTTCTTTACAAAGTTACGAATTACATACTAACAGTTTTTTGAAATTTTAACCATAATTTAATTAGCTTCTAGAAACAACATACCCAAATACAGTAAAACCTCTATAAATTAATAATGTTGTGATCATGAAAATCTATTAATTTATATAGCTATTAATTTATCGATAAATTAATAATTATTAATTTATAGAGAGATTTTCCTTATTTGAAAGTTTTTTCAGAAAAATATTTAAAAATGAGATTTAATCATGATAATTAGTATTTTATATAATCAATTACAAAGAAAATAATAATTATTATGTCTTGAAAGAAAATGCTTACAATTTTTGATATAGTAAAATATTAGAAATAAACTCTAACAAAAACTAATGTGTCTATATATACATATATTTTGAAAATTTTACCTAATTATTAATTTATAATATTATTGGGACCATATATTTACAAAAGATTTTCAAAAAAATTATTATCTTATTATTTTATCGAAATTTGTCTAAAATTACAGTGGTCCCAACTTGGGACCGGAGAAATTTATTAATTTATAGAGATTATTAATTTATCGAGTATTAATTTATAGAGGTTTTACTGTAAATACCTTTTTTTTTTTGTTTTATTAAAAGTTTTCAACTAAATTGATGGAGAACAGAATTAAGCTAAGCCAACGTCAACGATTTCTTTATCTACTCCCTACTGTTTTTCACCCTCATGTCTAAGCATGGAGTCTCCTCCACAAAGGTAAGCTGGGTTTTCTTCTTCCTCCTCTTCACGGCTTTACGGTGGCGGAAAGGTGATGGATCATGTGTCACCTATCCGTTCGGTTCACATCGTCCAGGCTTACAGGTGGTCCTGTTCCGGCGAGTATCTGCAGATCTTGGACGGCGGCTTCAATCGTGTTTTACGATTGAAGATTAGGGTTTTCTTTGTAACCGTTTAAGTTCGGTTTTAAAATTTTGGGTCGGTTTTGTTTTGATAATTTCGTTTGGTTTGGTGTTTGTGGATTGGACCCTTAGTGGTATTGTATGGGCCTAAATCCGGAAATAGCCATTGAGCTTTATCCCTATATTAGTAAAAGAGAAGTACAAAAAGTGCTTTCGGGTCAGGTCAATTTCAAAAAATTACCCAAAATTTGTAATTGGATCTTTTAAAGTTGGATAGATTAATGGGTTTGGATACATACACCGGATACTTTCCAAATCTAATTTTAGGATTGTATTATTTCCATAATTAATTATAGGATTTACTAATATTTCTCTAACTAATTTAATACAATCTATTTAAAAAATGTTATTTTTCTTTTACTTTTATTCGATATTATTTTTAATTTATAATATTATACTATATGATATAAATATTTAATAAAAATTTAAATTTTTTTTGCATATGTGCAATTTGAATTTTTCAAAAGGGACATATAATACTCAACTACACTCGATAAAATTTTTTGGACAATGGTTTAAAATCATTATAAGTATGACCAATATTAAAACCATTGTTACATAAGCATATTTAAAATTTCAAATAGTTTCAAAATATTATAAATAAAAGGTTCAAATATATAAAACTTTTAGAATTTAAAGTATTGAAATATTTTTTGAAGACATAAATGTAATTTGGAGACATACTTTTTATTGATAAAATATATTATATATCAAACTATGTAAATTTTAGATAATTCACGGGTAGTTTGTTAAAATCACAATTATAATGATAAAGTGAGTTACAAATAATGTTTTTTACGAAATAAATTCTGTTACGGGTTGGACTTTCAAAAAATATATTGTAAATATGTAATTTTTACGTATATTCGTACTTTTACTACAAAAATGGTAAAAATGAATAATTTATCGACAAATATTATTTCGTGTTGTTAAACTTTCACCGTGTTTTTAGTTGTATCAAAACTCAGTACATGATTATTTACTCGGTTTTTCCTTTATTATTTTATTTAAACTTATTATACAAATATATGATTTACCGTAATCGACTGCACTCTAACAAAATTAAAATGTAACATATTTTAATCCGTTAAAAGTTATATATATGTAACTATTTCCCCCGCGCTGTAGCGCGGGTCCGAATCTAGTTTATAAAATTTGCAAGGCCTTTTACAAAAAAGAAAAAAGAAACAAAATTAAGCTAGCTCAAAACAACTTAATTAGCAATAATGAACTATTTTTAACGAAAACGATAGTTTGTCGTCACGTAAACTCTATATTTTGGTTCCATGCAGTGTAGTCGTTGTGGATACTATTAATGCTTATACATGTTAATTTATGCTTCAACTATGATTATAAAGAATCTGAAATTTTATTTAATACTGTTTGGATCAAACCAACTCTACAACGATGCAAATAT